GCAGCTTGGGACACAAAGGGCGGGCAGGAGGGGCAGCCTGGGCTTTTGGCCCCAGGACTAGGGACACCAGGCACAGAAGGTGAGAGCCAAGTGGGTGATGGGGATGGCAAGGAAAGGCCACCTCAGAGCCTAGCTCAGCGCTGGAGGGGCTCTGAAGGAAAAGGCTTTGTAAATCAGGCCTCTCTCTGTGCAAACCACTAGAGGAGAAGGGGAGGTTGGGGAGCCAGGGAGGACACCAATTTCATTATGAAGGTCCTTTTGTCCTCTAAACAATCTGGGCATGCCAAGCTGCTTCACAGTCTCCAAGAAAGCACAAGGGTTGGAGAGAAAGGCTCCCATCAGGAGGGAGCAGACTCTTCCTTAATTAGCAAACAAGGCTTCCAAGAACGACAGCCTCACCCACACTTCCGCCCTGCTGCAGACTCACCACGGAATGCTGGCAGGGCGCTCCACTAATGGGAGCATTTTCCCCAAGCACAGGAGGCTTGGTTCGTTTGAGATCTCACCATCACCACCTCTCAGTCACACACGGATTCTTAGGAGTGGGAAGCAGCACTGTTTAATGGCCCACCGGTCAGGTGGGGAACCAGAAAAGTTACTGCCACGGCAGCTCGGAAAATGTTTCATTCCTTCTTTTTGTCCCAAAGAACTGTCATGAAGACACTGACCCTGGTGGGGAGAGGTCTCTTGCTTAAATTTACGTTGTAGCTCAAAACTAAATAATGACTTCTAATCGTACCCTGAAGAAAAGCTGACTGGCATATCGTATCAGAAAGAGCCCTGAACTAAGAGTCAGGAACTTGGCTTCCAGTCCATATCCTGAATGATACTTTCCTTTTCTCTTTAAAAAAAAATTTTCTTTTTGCCTTAGGGTGTGTGCACTCAAGAGAGAGAGAGAGAGAGAGAAAGAAAGAAAGAAAGAGAGACAGACAGACAGACAAAGACAGTGAGAGGGACAGTGAGAAATCACCCTCCTGGTGAGGAAATGGCCACGCTACAATCCCTTCTCCTCATTCTCCTCTCAAGATCTTGGGCACATACACACACATGCCCAGAGTGAGTTTCAAGTCATTGGGTACAGGACTCGAACTGCAGTTAGCCATGTGAGAGTCCAGTGACGTAACTGCTATGTCACCTGCTGGTCCCTGAATGACACTCTGTACTGGAAGAAGTCGAGCAAATGGCCTGATTGCTCTGAGTCTCAGTTTGCTTGGCAGGACTTGTCATTCCCCTCTGGCAGCTCAGCCCATAATGGCTTCTTGGATTCACATCCAAGCTTCTCCACCTACCAGTCACATAACTGGATTCTTATCCCAGCAACTTGGCCTCAGTGCCTCCATCTCCTCATCTGTAAAATGTACCTATTTCACAGGATGGTTTTAAGAGCAAAATACGAGGAACTAGGTAAAGCTCTCCTCACAGTGCCACTGGCTTTGCCCGAAATCAGAGCCCCATTACCGACATGGTGACTGGGGGGACAAGGAAGAAAATAAAAATTACTACAACTAGGGGCTAACTGTAAGGATTAAACAGCTTTGCAGTGGGTGGGCCCTTTATTTCTCAGAAAGGTTCAGGAGAAGTGAGTTCCCTGCCTGAGGCCACTTCCAAAGCCAGGAAATGTGAGGGAGAGACTAGGCGTGGGCGTACTTGCACCCTCGAGCAGGACACATCCAAACGTTCACCAGCGCGCCTTCAGCCAGCTCCAACTTAGTAGCAGTCTCAGGGCTCTCACGGGAAAAGAAACGGGGTATACAGTCTCACACCCCTTTCCACAGAATTCATCTTCTAGCCCTTCTCTTTATACAGACAAGCAAACTGTCATCCTATCTTCTTAGAGTCCTGAAAAATAACTGCTAGATCTGAGGGTGTTTGCTCGAGAGTAAAGAACATTTAAAGAAGGAATTCATTAAAGTTGGGGAGGAGGTTCACATAGGGAGTGGTCTAAACTGGTTTTAAACTTCCTAACTTCTTCCAAAAGATATACAAAGGGCTTTCCTCCTCCCAAAATCCTATTTTCAAATCAAAAGTAAGAACGGGTAGGAAATGCACAGAGGTGTCCATAAATCTCTGCTCATAGCCAACGTGAGCCAACAGCCATGATGGGAATTGTGCTGAAAACAAATCAGCAAATCATGTCAGACTGAAGTCATTCTCAGTCTCAGCTCCTTAATTATTTAGTACCTTCTGTTTAGTTCCATACAATTAAAGATAGGCCATTTATGGACTGCTTGTCTGCTAAGGACCATGCTAATGGAGAGAGAGAGAGAGAGAGTGAGAGAGAGGGAGAGAGAGAGAGAGAGGCTGTGTGTATATAAAATTGGATGTAATCCAGTCCCTGAATGTATTTACATTTAAAACATAAAATGGGGGCGATCTTCAGCCACTTGTTAAAGGGAAAAAATGTATAAGTCACTAAGGAAAAAAGAAAAAAAAAAGCAGTGTTTCACAAGATTGGAGAAGGGAACATAATAAAAAAATGAACCTCATCGTGTTCTACAAAGAGAGAGCTGAGTGGAACCTTTAGCGTCTTTGAAAGCATCTTGCCTATTAAAGTGATCATGCCTATCGTCTGATAAGAAGCATTTCCCAGATATAGTAACAATAAGTTGTTCTTCCTTCTCCTTCTGAATTGAAACTAAGCATCTGCAATATGACAAAACCCTAGGCATGATATTTACCAAGTCTATTTTGACTGCTTAGATCTTGTTTGCTTTTCTGGCATAGAAAGAACATACAAACAGCCTTGCTCAAGCTCAACATGTCTTGAGTGCAAAATTACTCTCACCCTTTTCATTGACTATTCATAACATCGACTTCCCCCTCGACTTCTGTCAATTACACCTTTTTTTTTCTTCTTTCCAGTCAATAAATACTGGGTGGTTGGGAAAGTCATATCGTATTTTTACATAGAAAAACAGAAAAATACATCATGACTTTCCTGATGACCTAATAATTGTAGCCTGTCTATTGTGCATTAGAAGCAGGTCTAGGCACTGGTGTCCTTTTTGAGACACGTATAGACTAGTTGAGACATATTTAAACAGATGATGGATGACTCACCCCTTGGCCTCAATCATTTGGTCTCTAGTTCACTTCATTCCCTTCTCTGTTTTCTGCATCCATTCTTCTAGTTAGCCCTCTTATGTATCTACTTCCATGATAGTTTTTCTCTGTGTACCTGAAATGGCCTTCACTCCTTCAAACTTCTCTTGGCATAGCCTCCCCAAAACATTAGCTTCATTTCATTCTTCTCAGGAATACACAAGAACAGTGACAACCTCCCACGGTGAATCTGAACCTCTGTGTGGCTCCCACACCCCGTTATGTTTCTTCAGTACTAGTTCAGTTTTTTCCCATAGTCTCCCCTCTTCTAGTTGGCCATTTACTTCTCTGTGCTCTTTTTAGATCTACTCTTTTTGTTTATGCATTTATAATCACGTGGTCCCCTCACCTGGGAAGCCCTTCCTTCCATCTTTCTAAACTCTACGATACCCAGACCAAACCCCACTATGCTTTTCCAGATTATACTGGCTCTCACCATAAACATTTTAGCAAGAAGTGCTGAATTTGCTAATAGGCTAAAATTAAGATAGCACTAAATTTATAAGACAACATGATCAGGATTAGAACTACAACTCTGGGGCCTCAAAACCCCAGAACTCAGAGCTGTAAATATAGCAAACCCTTTCTGATAAAACCAATCATGTTTGAAAACAGGAGTAAAAATTTTAGACTTTAAAGGCCATACAGTCTCCGTTATGATTCAATTGCCATCTGGCAGTGTAAAGGTAATCATGGATCGAATGCAAACAAATGAATCTAGCTGTATTAAAGAAGATTAGAAGAATTATAGAAATAGATGATGGGTGGAATTTGGCTCTTGGACCATAGTTGTCCAACCTTGTTCTAGAAGAAGAATAGATATAGATGAATGTCTTTCTGTATTAGCAAAAGGCAGCCGGAAGTCCCTTTAATCAGCCTTCTATCTTCCACGGGTCGCACGACTTGTTCCTTTAAGATAATACGTACCCTAGGAGTAGCTTTCTAGCCTAGAAGCCACCACCATGAGAATTTGGGCTGTGACCATCTGGTATAGCTATTTTGGTCAATGAGGAGAGGCTAATAAAATCCCTTCTTTGCCTTTGTTGGGGATACGGCAAGGAAAGAGTCCACTGTCTTACTCTCCCGTTACCCTCCAGACCTGCAGGAGGTTCATTTGTTAGCCTCTTGCCCCAGGGCACACGACAAATCTTCACCCACACTTTCATGTGCCAAGTACTACTCTCTCCTTTAATCCTCACATCAGCCCTTGAACATATAAGTACTTTATTACCATATCTATTATCCAGTTGGAAGAAACAGATGAGCTCTTGGTCCACATTAGCTATAATCCACTGCAGAAGTGGTAGTAGTTTTTATGAGTGTGTTCCGAGAATAAGACACATCATGCCAAGATTTCTTATTTTAATCTGAAGGTGTTAAAATAATGAGACTAGCTCGTTACCTCTGGTCTTTACAATGACCTTTTAAAGGATATAGCTTTTCTCATTTTATCCATAATAAAAAACAGGCTTAACCAGTTAATTCAACTTTGCTAATTTCGAAAAATCAGGGTCATGATTCAAACTCAAGCTTATCTGACTCAATAACCCACTGGCACATTTCTTTGAGCCCCTCTTTAATAACTCTGACCTAAAAACATGAAGCTTCGTGTGTTTTAGAAACCCCCAATGTTTGCTCCGTGTGAAGTGAGGAGTTAGGTCAGCTTTATGGGGTCCAGTACCCGAGGAGGACCTCGGGAAACAGAGGCAAGCCAGCGCCTATGATTTGAGCGTGGATCCTAAGCTGGAACGGAAGCTGGGGTAGCCCCTCGTCCTGCACCACAGACGCAGGTCTCAGGCCGAGCCTCCTATTGCAAACCCTGAAAGTGGCTTTGTATGGTGGTGATGCTTCCTTCGTACACTGTGGCAGCGCAGGGGGAGAGGGAGGCAAGTTCTTACCAGCCTGTCATGTTAAAGTCCCTGTAGAGCATCTTCTTTCCAAGTTCCTTTCTCTGTACTCTCCTTGGAAACTCCAAATGTGTGAATTCATTTCCCAGCAAGTGAGGCTGCATGAATGCCTAATAGCAAAAAAGAAGAAGAAAAAAAGCCACACACATATTTAGAGGAAAAAAAAATAAGACTTGAGGCTGTTTCGCAAATTGAGACAGGCTATCTTCAAAAACAAGAACATCATCTCATATTTTAGGGGAAGTAAATACATTTAAGAACCTAAACACTTACAGAAGAGCAAATAGAAATGCTTAACTAACAGAGATGTAACTTTTTCATATGAAAAGACAAATTAGTTGTAATGAAAGACAACAGCTAGAGGCATAAGAGGCTGAGCTCCCTCCAAAGGTTGACTTTTTTTTTTCTTTTTTTGGAGAGATTTTTTGCTATATGGCGCTTGCGCTCACTAGAAAGACAGAGAGAGAGAGAGAGACAGAAAGTGAGAAATCATCCCCAGGAGGATGGCCACACCGCAATTCCTTCTCCTCCATTCTCCTCTTGGGATCTTGGGCATGCCCGCACACGCGCCCGGTGTGAGTTTAAGCCACCGGGTCCGGGACTTGAACCGCGGTTGACTACGTGGGAGTCCAGCGACATAACCATTACGCTAACTGCTGGTCCCAGACTTTTGATTTTTATTTATTTGTTTTTCTAACACACACACATGCGCGCGAGGTAAGAGAGAGACAGCAGCCCTAACAGGGTCATTGCTCCACCGTCTACTCCCGGTCTCAGCCAGCCCTGGATCAAGGCATGCATACATGGGCCATACTCAAGGAGGTCTCCAGATGTGAACCTGGAAACTTCCCGTGTGGGTCAGCCTCACAGCGTATAGCACTTTGCTGTTGTGCCACTGTGTGTCCCCAAAGGTTACTTTAAAATTCAAATTCAACATGGTTTCACTCTCCTGAATGTGTGTTGATGAGCTCCAGGGTGAGAAAGCTCAGATTCTTCCTTCCTTGGCTTTCTCTGCTTTCATTTGGGGACACCCCAGTTATTACAGGGCTACCTTGGAAGCCTGTGTGTGAGTCTCGGGGTAGACACAATGGCCCGAGAGCGCAAGCTGGGGCTAGATGCTGTGGGCAGGAACTTTCTGTTGGACTCCCTCCAGTTTGCTCTGTAGTCATTTGATCGTGTCACTGGAAGACTATTCCGGAGCAGATGGCTTCTCCCCTCCCCCAAATCTCTGTTCACACTACACAGGTCTTGAGCAAATAGCCACTTAGGAAATTGCTTTGAGACAACAAACAGTCTCATTGTCACATTCAAAATTCAAATCCAGCTATTCGAGAGATGAACGCTCACGTGTGCACTTCCCTGCTGTGAGGTGCCACACCCAATATGAGCGTCCCTGCACTAGAATGAACAGCCCTACCCCAAGCTGGACGCCTGCTCATCATCCTGCTCATCCTGGCAGGAGTAAGAGTGGGGAGGGTACGTAATGCTGGCACGAAAGGAAAGCAAGGGATCCCTGACATGGGACAGATGGCCAGGTCCTTAGTCACCAAGACAGGCATCTTCCATAGCCTCTCTGTTAGGACCCACGGCCGGCAGACTTCCCATCGATTCCCATGGTGGGCAGAGGTATTAGTTAGATGTTAGTCATTTGAAGCTAAGTTTATCAGGAGCCAAAGGATGTAAGCTGGACTGTCACCAAGCTGGCCATATTTGGCCAGATATGGAATTCTGAGCCAGTAATTCTGGCAGGCTTGCAGACAGGACGGGATGGAATGAGACAGGACAGGATGACTGAATGTGAGACGGGGACTTGTGTCTTCCTGTCTTCTGTGGCCCCAAGCCTGGTACGAATTTTGAGGGACTCTGAAATGCCTGCTGGAGTGAGGCTCAGGAAGCTGATAGCTATCAAGGAAACCTAAGTACTGGGTTTTACAGAGGGGTTCCCCTGGGAAGGAAGGGGAGAACTAATATTTAACAGGGCAGGTCAATGGTGTGGGCTCTGGGTGAGACCGACTTGAGTCTGAATTTAAGCTCTGCATTTATAAACTGTGTGATTTTGGTGGGTTCTTAATTTCTTGGTTCTCGGTTTCTATATCTGTGAAGTTAATATTTACCTCACACTGCTTTTTCCATAACAAAATGAAATGAATGTCTGTAATACACTTACGATTGTCTCCTTTCATAAAAAACACTATATCCACCTAATAATGATTAATTTTGCCAGAGGGCATGAGTGCTTGCCAGAGAGATGGAGAGTCAGAGGGAGAAGGAGAAAGCACCCTCCACAGAGAATGGTCATGCCACAATCCCTTTTCCATTCTTCCCTCCTTTTGGGACTCTGGTTATGTACACACACCCTGTGTGTTTCTAAAGATGTTGGGTCAGGGACTCGAACTGTGCAGTAGGCCACATGGAATCCAGCTCCTTTAAATACCAGGCCGTGGGCTGGAGATTGATGAGTCTATCCTGAGTTCTTTTATCCTCCCAACAACCTAATGGGCAGGACTGATCACATAATTTGTAGGGCCCAAGGCAAAATGAAAACATGGAGGCTCTGTTCAAAAATGAAGAATTTCACCTAGGGACAGTGGGGCAGTATACCAAATGCAGGGCCCTGTGTGACCGTCTTCGTCCCTGTGCTGGAGTTTAAAAGTATTTCATTCCTCCTTCATTTCAGCCCATCCGTGAAAACTAAGCAACAGAGCCGTAAGTAGTCAATCAACACCAGCACTTGTGACTGCCCTACCCTTTTTGATTTTCAGAACTTCGAGACTACAGAAGCATGAACCTTCTGTCTACTCCATTATCCCCCAGCTGAACTAACACGGAGTTAGGGGTCACAGGGTGGCAGCCTGACACTGGGCACTTGCTATCTCTTACCTTATTCCTCCACAACCTTACAAAGCACATGTCAGAGACTCCATTTATAAATGAGAAAACTCTCAGGGAGGTTGAGACACCTAGCCCAAGGCCATCAGCCAGAACTGGGTGGATCTAGAGCCTCATGCCTATAATTCCTATCCTAAGCCTACACTGGCCCCCCAAAACACCAAAAACAAAATTTTCACATAGTGTGGTCACAAGGATGTTCCTGAATTATTAAAATAGAAGAGGGATGGCCCTGCAGGGTAGCAGTTAAGTGCTGTGCAGAAGGAGCCAGAACCTACAGGGCCTTCTTTAGTTTGAATACTGGCCCCAGCAGCTTGAAAAACCTGCCTGGCACGTGTGTGTGTGTGTGTGTGTGTGTGTGTGTGGGTGCCCAGGATCCGGATCCTAATGGGAACAGGAAATGGAGGAAGGATTGTGGTGTGTCCACATGGCATGTTTTTCAAGCTGCTGGAACTGGGATTTGAAACATGGTCAGCCACGTGAGATTCTGCTTTACCACGCATCGGACATATCTGCTGTGTTGTGGGGCCAGCCCTTGATGGTACTTTAACCAGGTAACCTCATACCCCTTAGAACATGTTTCCTGTGGATAAGGGCAGATGACCATATTAAATACATGTTCTTGGGTAGGTGTACTGGTTGGGTTGGGTCATATGTCTGCCAGTGAGCTGGGAATCCACAATAGCTTGGATACTTGTAGGGGCCCCTCACCTCTTTCTCTGAAGATGTGCAGGTTCAAAGGGGCCTTAAGCCTCCTGTCACTTGTGGCACCTGCAGCCCCATTCAAAGGCAGAGCTTCTGGTCATCTCAGCAAACTGCTTGCTTTCTCCTTTCTCTCAGGATCACAACAGAGCCCTCTGTGATCAAACTGAACATGCCATTTATTAGATGCACCAGTACCAGTACACTATTTTCTCTAAGAAGGAAAAAAGACTGCCAATGAATCTATGCACCGTGCTTTATACCACTTCACATTTTTATTGTATCTGTTTGGAAGAGATCCTGTATATTAAGACAGATTTTTACTATCACTATTGTGTATATGCAATAAGGGATGTGTAAGTGAAGAATATTGGCTATGGTTTTCTAAAGCTTTTTCACACTTAGAGTCCTTCCATGCTAATTACTGGAGTGCTTGTGATTTTCCACACAGTAAGGGCCTGGGTTCCGAGAGCACTGGTGATGCAGCAGTTCTTCAACAACCCATGACAAAACTGCCAGCCTCAAAGCCAAGAGTGCAGGACTTCTTAAGCCAGCTTTGCAATTATCTATAGCTAGCTTATTTCTGACTTCCACTTCAGGAATGTGGCTAAACAAGTCTGAGTCACATCTTCCCAACCCCCTTCTGCACAAGTAGGAGGATTCCAATAGGTTTAAAGGGCTTTCTTGTTTGTTTGCAGGATTTTCTTTCAAGCTGGTGGCCAGTCATCCTATAAGTTTGGTGTGATGGTGTTTAGGACACACGGTCCCCAAATATGGCATCTTGGCATTTGAGAAAACAACAGAAGCAGGAAGGTCTCTCCCACTTTCCCCTTAGAAGGGTCATAAAACACAGAGATAACTCCCTGACCCTCTCTTGCCCTTCTTCTGTAAAGCAGATCCTAACATCCTCATGGCAGATGTGCCCTCCATGTTCCTAGAGGAGAGAAACATCTTATCTCTGAAGACACGGGGCTACAGAGAGGAATCTGAATACACAGACATTGTTAAGTCCCTCCCCCTTACTGTTATCAGATCCCTATCTTCTTTGTCCAGCCATTTTTACAACTGTCTTCTTTTCATTTTGAGCATAAAAATACACAAGCTACCTATTTGAGGGGGTGGGGATTGGCGGGAAATGTCTTCATTTTCTTGCCAAGCTTCTGTGCCATGTAAAACTTATATAACATTCCCCTTTATCTCTGGTTTCAGTCCTCTGTGATCAACTGCGGTTCAGAAACAGGCGAGTACCAGACAGTACAATATTTTGAGAGGGGGGAGAGAGAGAGAGAGAGAGAGAGACTACATTCACATGACTTTATTACAGTCTATTGTTAGAATGGCTCTATTGTGTTGTTTGTTGTTGTTCATCTCTTACTGTCCTCATTTATAAATTACACTTTATCATGGATATGTAAGTACAGGATTTGGTGCTATCCAGGGTCCCAGGCATCTGCTGGGGTTCTTAGAACATATTTCCTGTGGATAAGGGCAGACAACCATATTAAATAAATTTGCATGT